ACAGAGAGGAAGGGAGAGAGACAGAGAGTCAGAAACATCGATGAGAGAGAAACATCGACCAGCTGCCTCCTGCACATCTCCCACTGGGGATGTGCCCGCAACCCAGGCACATGCCCTTGACCGGAATCGAACCTGGGACCCTTCAGTCCGCAAGCTGACGCTCTATCCACCGAGCCAAACCGGTTTCGGCTGATGCATTGGTTTTGATTGATTATCATAATCTTCCAGTGGTACTGGAGGCAGATCTTTGGAACTCATGTTGAAAGCATGAGTTCTTTTTCTGTGTCCTCTCATTACTCAACCCCACTCTCCAGAGGCTAAAGCCAGGTGACCATAAAACTTTGTGTATGGTTATTCATAAAGTGAATCACTAGAGCCAAGTATAGTGCTCAAAGTGTCCTGTGCATGATTTTATTTAATCCTCATGACAACCCTATTGTTACCGCCCATCTATATTAATAAAAGGGTAATATGCTAATTAGACCAGGTCAACTGGACATCTTCCAGACATCCAACTTCCTTTCAGACAAAGCCATGGTGGTGGGGACCGAGGCAGAGGCAGTTAGGGGCAATCAGGCCAGCGGGGGAGCAAGCAGTTGGGGGGCGGTCAGGCTGGCAGGGGAGGGCAGTTGGGGGTGATCAGGCTGGCAGAGGAGGGCAGTTAGGCAGCAATCAGGCAAGCAGGGGAGCAGTTAGGGGGCAATCAGGCAGGCAAGTGGTTAGGAACCAAAGGTCCTGGATTATGAGAGGGATGTCCCCTGAGGAGTCCCAGTTTGGAAAGGGTGCAAGCCGGGCTGAGGGACACCACCCTCCCGTGCATGAATTTCATGCACTGGGCCTCTAGTTTTATAAATAACAAACAGAGACACTGAGAGGTTACGAGTCTAGCTCAAGGCAGCCAGTTAATAAAACAGCTATTTAGGGTTGGTACCCATAGATGCCCAGTCTTTAATGCAAACTGAGGATTGATGTCCACTCTGATGATCCCACGTTCATCTGAACAGGGTTCTCAGATAGGCTTATGACTGGGAAGGAGGATAGACATTTTGACCCTTGATACCAGAGTGAGACCAAAACAGTCACCCAGTAGCAGATAAGCAGGTAATCCTAACATCTCTTGGCCAAGTTCTTGGAATGCAGGAGTCTGCAGCCTCTCCTAAGTGATGAAATTTCAGTCTGGTTTGGGTTTTGAAAATATTGCAACTAGCTCTTTGCCCTTATTCTCCTTTAGAAACTTGTTCCTGTGGCCCCAGATGAACCCAGAGCCTTTTGTATCCAGCTAAAGCTTGGACAGCAGCACCTTTAAAATACTTGAGCCATTTGAAGCAGGGCCTCAAGTCAAGTTGTTGCCATAAAAACACACATTCTGGGACTCAGAAGATACTAAGAGAAAAAAAAAAAAGGATGAAGTTTCTTTTGCTGGTAGAGATGCTCATAGAAGCCCAGCAATCCTATCTCTGTCTAGGGCAGGGGTGGGCAAACTTTTTGACTCGAGGGCCACAATTGGTTCTTAAACTGGACCGGAGGGCCGGAACAAAAGCATGGATGCAGTGTTTGTGTGAACTAATATAAATTCAAAGTAAACATCATTACATAAAAGGGTACGGTCTTTTTTTTTCAATAGTTTTATTCATCTCAAATGGGCCGGATCCGGCCCGCGGGCCGTAGTTTGCCCACGGCTGGTCTAGGGCCAAAGGAGAGAAAATGAATGTAAAGGGTAACAGAAGAGATGTCGTCATATGTCATCAAATTTAGATCCCTTGGCCCTGGGAATTACCCGAGAGACAGAGGTTTGCTTAAAAGCAGGGTTAATGTGAGAATCACTGAACTTTGAACTGGAAAAAAATTGAAAAATCATCCAGTCTAATAATTTTATGACAGAAGGAAAGAGGCCAAGAGAGTGAGGCAGCTTCCTGAAGGTCACTGATCTGAAGAGTTTCAGGCTACTGCTCACAGCTCTGCCCTACCTGGCTAAGAATGGGGGAGGGTGTAAACAGGTAAGGAGGAAAGTGCAAAGCATCTTCAGTAATGCCAGTAAACGAGCAGCATAGCTACAGAACAAAAAAGGTTGTTGGAAGAAAGGCACTGCCCAAGATTGGATAGAGCCCAAAGTAACAACAGGGAGTCCAGGAGATTCACACTTAAGGGGCAAGGCAGGGAGGCCAGTGAGGACACTATTGGGGAAGGTGTGTGCTAGAAGTCCTAGGATTTTATATTTTACCTCCTAATGCTGAATACAGACACAACACAGCAATTAAAATGTTTGTTACTCCCTCCTCTCCCATCTTTTTAATGGTGGTTTCTGTTGCTTCTGATTTGGGAGTGGGAAGAAGCAGGAACGTTCCCACTTAATTGGTCCTGACGTGGGGATTTGGCATTGATGTTCTCAGAACTGGGCAGGTGTTTAAAGCTGACACTTTCATGGGTACTTTATACGTCACCCCATCATAATCAGTTCAGGCAGTTATAACAAAGTAACACAGACTGGGTAGTTGATAGTCAGCAGGACTTTATCACAGTTCTGAGATCAGGGTGTCAGCATGGACGGATTTTGGTGAGAGCTCTCTTCTGGGTTGCAGACTGCTGACCAGTCTCATTGTATCTTCACAGGGCAGAAAGACAGCCAGCAAGCTCTCTGGTCTCTTATGGGGACACTAACCCCATTCATGAGGGCTCCACCCTCATGACCTAATCACCAAAGGTCCCACCTGCTAATACCATCACATTGGGGGTTAAGATTTCAACATATGAATTTGGGGGGACACAAACGCTTGGTCCAGAACACCTGTTACTGGGGACCTCTCACCTGCATTCTCATGGGTGACTCCTCTGGCTCATCGACTACTTCTTCCTCCATACCTCGTGCCTCCAGCTTCTCTTGGCTGAAATATCTTTTTGCCCTTCTTGGCTATTCCAGGCCAAACCTCATGGCTCTCAACTTTGCCTCAACAACTCTGAGTATAGTTACTTCCCAAGTGTAACTCTCTACTCTTCCGTGCCTCTTGTCATTTTGATTTCTCAGGCTTGACACCCTGAGGTAGGGGTGGAATGGAACTCCTAACACAGCATTCTCCAAAGATTTCTCATCTAAAATCTTACCTTCATCTCTTCTGTACCTTAAATATTCTTTGCCACTTTACTTTGCAAATCCTGGTCTAGCGCTTCACTTTGACATTTGATATTTATTGTGATTCAGCTGAAACTTCTATGTCAACATTTGATTTCATTTTATTTAAGATGCCTTGTGAACCGAAATGCTCCTGTGTGAATCCTGAGCATTAATATGACATTTATTTCTATTTTTCAAGCATAAGATACTGGATTTATTTCCCAGGCCCCACATCTTCTAGATCCAAATCTGGATTCTAGTGAGAGGGGGGGCTCTAATTAAAGGGGGGGATAGAGGAAGACAGTGTTTCAATCAGATTATATAAGGCCTTGAGGCAACTCTGTGTGGCACTCTAACTCCAGAGGGAAGTTGCTGTCCCTCCCTGCTTTCTAGCTTCTCCAGGATATAGTGTGAGGTGGAGGAGCAGTGGCAGGGAGCAGACTTCTTCAAGAGCAGACTGAGACATTCTGGGGACTCCCTGCAAGAAGAGGCAAGAGCCAAAGGAATTCAGGAACTGGGGCCCTATGTGACCTTGAGCAAGCTACTTCTCTGAGACTTGCTTTCCATATCTGTAGAATAATAATCCTTATGTTCCTCACAGCCAAGATCCTGTGAAGTGCTTTCTAAACAGAGAAGTGGGTCACAAGTGTCAGGAATAGGTACTTAGACTTGATTTTAGTGTCCCATCTTGAACTGTGTAGACCTTGAGGTCAAGGCCCACATCATGTTGGTTTTCCTCTATCCCAACATGAGTACAATTTCCTGGATGGAATTGCGGTGCTGAAGACCTGTGTCTGTTGGGAATGTCTGGGGTGTAGACTTGCTCTGTCTGCAGAGCCTCATGTTTATTTCACATGTGCTCTTTGTCAGGCCTAATCTGGAGACAGTGAATGAAGGACCAGTACTACCCCAACTTCATCACATCCCAGAAAACCCAAGTTAAAGCCCCTTTAATACATTATGTAATTACTTAGTTTCATTTTCCAATATATTTTTTGAAATAGTGAACCCAGCTCTCTTTGCTTCTGCTTTTGCTGTGACTCAAATTCTTATTCCTGAGTTTTCTTGCTGTGCCCCTTATTCTTTCGATAATGTTGTTTTCATCTTCTCTTGCCTCTGGTTTTTTAATGTGCCCTGTGAACTATATTCACTCGCTCAGACAGGGGTGTGGAGGAAGCATAGGCCAGGAAACCCAGCAAGCTCTAGCTAATGCATGGGAGCCTTTAGCTTGGTGATTACTACAATTGTTGCCTAGTGGAACAGTGAGCCATTAGCTGAGTTCCTACCCCCCTATTAGTATACTCTGTAATTTAATCACAATTAGACTCCTAGAAACATAGACATAGGAAACAAGTAAGCAAAGGAGGCAGATGGCACAAAGCAACAGCAGTTGGGAGTTTTAATCAAAGGCACTGTTTTCAGAAGGTATATGGCCAAGGAAGGGCGAGGTAAGAGCTTAGGTTGGGAATGAGGTAATTGGGGAAGTGATTAAAGGTACTTTGAGTTTTACTTTCTGG